GCAGGAATGGGGTCTGCTTCTCTGTCACTGGGGCTGTGAACACCTTCCAGGTGGTGTCTCGTGACTGTTTCTCCACAGCCTGTTGAGGGTTTGTATAGGCATCTGAATTGCCCAAGAGGCAGCCTGTCCAGTACAGGGGAGTTAGAATTTTTACACTGAAAGATGCCGTATGGGTTACTTTAAATAACTGCCTGCTTTATACTATCAGTGCTAATTTAAAGGTTTACAAATCCTATGCATGTAAAGTGCCATATGGGCACACAGTATATGAAATCACAGTGTCCTGACAATATAAAAATAAATTTGTATTACTTAGCCCAGTCTTCTTCTGCACTGTCCCCATTTACATCCATCTGAGATCTAAGTTTTCCACGCTGCTTTTTCCTGGGGGAAAAAAATTCCCTCTGAAGTTAACTCTTTTAAATGTTCCTTTTGTTCTTAAAATTCTGTCTCTCCTAGACTGGAATTTCTTTGAAACAGAAAGACTTGATTTATGCATTATGTAGCATTATGTATGTTGCTGCTGCTTAAGAAATAATAAAATCAAAAGAATTGGGTTTTGGGTGAAGGATGGATATCTACAGCCATTATTTGTCCAAATTAGACTACTCTGTTGCAGACACAGTTTATCTCTAGTTCGGTCTGCAATTTCAGGGACTTTTAGTCTAAAGCAATTTTAGTCTTTCCAGAAAACTTCTCTGGTTGCCAGTCTGTATGTTTTTCCTCCCCTTCTCCTTCTCTGCCCTTCCCTTGCTTCTAACAAAGCAGTATTCAAGAACAAATTTTATTTGCTGTTCCTTAGCAAACGTGAATAGATGGAATCTCTGCTGAAGTTGTGCATGTATCTCAGCTAGACTGAGCAGCAAAGTATCTGATGCAGCTGGTAAAACTAGATCTTCAATACCCTCTTGCTCCTGCTGTAAGAGATTCTAGCTTGTGGTGTCTGCTCACCAAAGCCCTACAACTTTGACAGTTTTGAGCTGCAGAAATGCACGTTTTCCATTTGATATCATATGGCTAAAAGTGATGACTGTAATACAGAACTTATTTCTAAAGGAGCTAAGGCCAAATAGTTCACCTGTTCGAAGTAGCCAGTGTTCCTGGGATCTCCAGCATTATTCTTTGCTGAGATCAGAGAAGTATTTAGGACAGATTTGAGTGCTGAGCTTAAGTGATGCAGCATATCTTAGAAGTCAAAAAAGACAAATCCCAAAGGAGACAATCAAGTGTCTAATGCATGGATATGCCTTAATATAAAGCAGTTTTTTCTTTATCTAGAGTCAATTTAGTGCCCTCATTAATGGTACTTTCCCCAGCTTTCTCTTTTTAATCGTGTGGGCAGATACTTAGTTCATCAGCACCCTCTATGTTCTTCCTTCTGCCGTGAATAACTTAAGTACTCCTTCAGATTGGCATATTCAAATTAATTACTGTATCACAATCAAAAAAAGGGTTAAAAAAAGTACAGATCGACATGTTTCCTAATTTCCTTTCCTGACACCAAATCCTTTACCTTTAAGTTTTAAAAAAAAAAAAAAAAAATTGTCAAAGCATCCTTCCTCCTGTGTCCTAATAGTAGTGAAGTACAGGTAGTATAAGAATAAATACTTGTTTCTCCCCCTCATCCTCCTTTCTTTTCAAATAGGTCTTGCAAACATCACATTCTAATGTATTCGCTGGAGGAAGGCCGTGGGCCCAGAAGCCACAGCGACTGCCTTCTGCTTGAGACAAGCTCACAGAAATGATGGGACTTTGCATGTGCCACCTTCAGTCTGCGCATCTGTGTAAGCGGCGCCAGTAAAGTGATGGGTGCTGCTGATGTCGACTGTCCTGTTGGCTTTTGGTAGTTTTAATGAATCTTTTCTGCCCATTGTGAACAATTGTTATGAGGTGAGACTCGCCTCCCATTCCCAGATATATGATGATGGACTTTCCTAGGATGTCACTAATTCTTGTTTAAAAGCTTGCCTTCCTTAGTTTAAAACTGAAAGTAAAGTGTTCTTGGATTATATGATTTTCCTCTTTTGTCTTTTTGTGGATGTGTAAAATATATTTGTGACAGGAAGCTGGAAAAAACAATGCTGGTGAGCTGCATTATTGGATATCTGCAACGTGCACAGCTGATTATGAAGGTTAAATTTTGTTAATTTTCACTCAGTTCAGGTTAAGTTTTATGAAGTGTCACCATGTTAGCTTTCTCCCGGCTTTTACTGTTGCTACAAGGCTGTCACTATACTAGGTATGTTCTTATAGGGGAAGGGTGAAAGAAGAAGGAGTGCTGTGATTCTTGTTCAGTGATGTAGAAGAAACTGGATGATGTTGAAACAGGCTTTATTTAAGTGGGAAGGGCTTGGCTTGGCAGTTCAGCACTGGCATGGTAAAGGTAAGAAAAAAAATTAATCTAAATTTGCACTGATTCTGGTAGTATCTTTACACCAGTTTCTCATCTTTCTTTCTTTCTTTCTTTCCCCTTAAACAAACAAAATCCCAGCAGCAACAAAAGGCCTTGCCCTGTTGTTTGAAATTGAATCTTGCAACCTTCCTAATAAATGTTTAGTATTTATAATTTGACTAGTGTCTTACTCGTTAGAAATTACCTATTTATGTCTGATCTAGTGACTACTTTTTTCCTCTCTTACCAAATGCTTCACCAAAAGTATGTTTTTTAAAGCAGTTGCAAGCATAAGCAACCATTTTCATACTGTATGTGACTTTCTGTACCGTAAGAATACCTGGCTTTGGAAATAGTTGACACGGGCTTGGACTGGAGATGTAGGGAAGCAAATTATTGAGATTCTAGAAAAAGTAAACAGTTCTTAGAAGTAACATTCATAATTTCAGAGGAACAGAAGTAGTAAAAAGAAATAGCCTTCCCTTCACTGCCCTCCTCTCTCTTAGTCACCGATTTTGGTCGCTGGTAGCTACAGGCCACCTCCTGTTATGTTTGTGTCAAGCTGATTTCTTAAATGACAAGGCACAGAAGTACAATATTTGGTTAATGCTCTGCTCAGTCTTTGCAAAGTGTTCGCATAAACTCTGTGCCCCCAAAGGGAAGGGATGGACTCTCTGTGCAATTATGAAAGGAGCTTATAACCTTTGCTTCCTAGATAACAATATCAATGGTATGCCTATACTTGCACATTTTAGGTGTTTGGGCTTATCTGTACCCCTTTTCTATTAAGAGACCTGTGCAAGCTGTGTCTGCATTAGTGTTGACCCTTTCTCTCTGCTGATGGAGGAGACCAGAAGGGTATGTCTTGTTTTTTCACCTTAGCATCAAAATTCCTTCTTGAGCACAGCAGCTGTAACCAGAGACTGTAGGGTTTCCCACTGGGTGGTTTCCCAGGGCAGTTGCCTGCTGTCTAGATCGGGAAGTAGACTTGCTGATGTGCCTTTCTGCTTCTTGGGAAGCAGAGGCAGTTAGCCTCCTGCCTTTAATGGCCTACAGCTTCTGGGTTTTGTTTTCTGGTTTCACACTGTTGTTACTTAGAGTTTTTGAATATTTTTCATTCCTACTGTGCAATAGCTCTGTCTCACCCTAACATGAACCCAAGGAGCTAAATTCAACAAGGATGTATGAATCTGTCTTAATTAGACCTCTGAGTCCCTCCAAACTTACTGCCTAGCTAAACAGCATTTATGGGAGAGACCTGGAAGAAGAAAAAGACCATCATGCCTCCATTCTCATCTTCAGTGTACAGTTTCTCCTGAGTTAACCTGTGTAGCAGGTTAAAGAGCAGTAAAGAGTAGATACTCCTCTGGCATAAAGAGGAATACCAGTATGCAATTGCTTTCTTGGCATCTGCCCCTTCAGGAGGTCAGTGCAAGAAACTCTCTTTTAAAGATCTGTGAGTACTGGGACTTCAGGTTTGAGTAAAGACAACGCTGGTAACTGCCAGAAGACAAGACTATCATGGTCACAAAAGCAAAATTATATGGGTAAAACTTCATTTGAAACTGCCAGTGCTTTATATCTGCAGTTCCTATTCTGAGCATAAAACCAGAAAAGGTTCCTGGTAGAAATGTGTTTGTCCTCCCTCTGTAATGTCCTGGTTTTGTTTAGGAGGCAGAGCTTGACAACTGAAAGGGCTTGTGAACTTTAATGTGACACTGACAAAATGGCAACGGTCGCTTCCTAGGCTGAGATAGGGGCTTGAGAAAAGCTAAAAGAACTCAAGAATCTTAGTCAGTTTTGCTGTATTTGCAGCACTTTTCCTCTTTTGCTGATAGTCGCTGTCAGTTGGAACAGCAGGTTTTTTATTATGGCTGTGCTGTCCATGAAACCAACCCATGTTTTGATGAAAGATGGGTCTGATTCTACTGACTGAGCCGCAGTCTGGTAAACATTTACTTCTCAGTTCTGCTAACATGGTTTCATGCTGCCCAGAAGCTTCGTTATTAATACCTAAAGCCTGGTATATACTCTAAAAATATACTTAACCTTGATCTTTTTAACTTCTTTGCTAGTCCGGGCTTGAGCCATCTGAAATTGTGATAGCTTTATAACACTTGATCTCTTCACTGACAGTTGGTTTAGGCTGGGTTGTTGTTGGGTTTTGGTTGGTTTGTTTGTTTTCTTTTTTTGTTGTCTTCATTTTAGAAAGTTATTTCATTTCTCCTCAAAGAACTGCTATATTACAGTTACATATTTCGGTTGGGATTCTGAGGTGCTTGTCTCGCCTTCATGCTCCTTCACCCCCACTCAGCCCTTTTCCTTTACCCAAAGGCTATTTTCCCGAGTCTAAATCCTGGTAAGTCTTTCATGTCAATGCTGCCATCTTCAAACTTTTTTGGACTTCATCAGTACTGCATCTTGGATCATGCCGTGGACCGTTAAGTTGCTTTTCTTGCTTTTTAGCGAGTGTATAGCATACGAGGGCCTCCCACCTACAGATGCTCTGACTCACATGGGAGCTTTGCTCCTGTGGGGTGTGTGCTGTCTTACAAACTCATTTGCTAGATCAAAGACGTGATGTTGTGAAAGCATGACCAGAGGTTGGGTTCTTTATTGGTTTGGTTCCATTTTGAAGAAACGGTGAGGTGCTCCTGAGATGGACAACAGGAAACGTTTTACTTCTTCCCCTGTCAGAGTGGACTGTAGCACTTGGTGAACATGGTTGAGTTGGGAGCTGTTGATCTCCCAGCTGTTGCTGTATTGGAGATTCCTTTTGTTTCAGGTGAACTGAGATAATAGAATTTGATGGGTTTTTTTAATCAGCAGAATCGGTGGTTTTTGGGAGCAGGCTTATACCTGCTCTGTCCTCACAATGTGCATTAACCCTACTGTAGGTTACATCATTTGGAAACGAGCCACGTTAAATCTGCGTCCCTGCGGATGGCTGGCAGGTGAGCCTGTTGGAAGAAAGCGTGGTGGTGACTGCTGTGCCATTGCTGTCCAGCCGGGAGTCGGATCTCGCCTCCCTTCCAGCTTCGTTGCATACCTAGCTGTCCTTGAATGTCTCCGATTACTTCTCAAAATCTTCATTCTAGTGTATGTAAAAGCTAGTTCCTACTTTTTTGTGTATTCATATCGATGCAGTTTTCTTCCTTGTTGTTTATGGAGTAAGAACTTAGTAATGAATGACTAACCACTTGGTATTGGAGACTCCTCGGTATGGCTTTGATAAGATATCTGATTCTGCCTGCAGTACTCTTTGATGTTCTTCGCCTTGATCTCCGTCCACAAACGGCTCTGATCTGACTTGCTACATCAGCATTACCTGTGTTGGGTGCTGCACAAGCACCTGGTGAGAGATGGTGTCTATCCTGAAAAAACCCTTGATTTGAATTAACATGCAAAAAGTATCTGAAATAGCTGAGTCAAAGGTGCTTAAATATGAAGATGGGGGAAACGAGACAGAGTAGTGTCACAAATCTGCTCAGAGCTAAGTTTGACAGGTTACCTGACAGTTAATATCTCTGTTAGTAAGAATTGGGGATTAAAAAAAACCCAACCCACCAACAAACCAAAAGCCCTGTGACACCGTCTGCGCTGCAGGAGTCTTCTTCTGCAGTGACTAATGCTTGCTCTGTGGTAACAAGACTATTCTGTTGATTTCTTTTGAATAAAATGAGTGAGTACATAGTAGCGTAAAACCCCATCTCTACTGGCAATTTAATTTTGGCAAGACCCCCTCTGAGACCATTTTCCTTGAGCCTCTTGTAACGTATCTTTGAGTGGGAGGCAAGCTGAAGTCTTACCTGCTCTGGCACAAACAAATCTGTTCCCTTTGAACTGGTCGACATCTAAGATGCAACCACTGAGCTGTTGCGTTTTTCATGTAAATGGGCTTTGAATGCGGCTCACTACAGGAGACGGTCCTGTGCTCGATCAGTCAGTCTATTTTTGTCGTCGTCTTTGTCATAGTTTAATCCTGTGTTTGGAAATGATGTCTCTGCTAGCATGAGGCAGATATTGGTGGAATTTCTGCTCATCAATTTCTATTTTAGGTCCCTGTATAATCTGTTCATCTGAGGGAAGCACTGAAGAACGCGGCACAGGAGTAGAGCTGGTGCCGTGGGATGAAAGGCACGGTGGTGCCCTGCTCGCTCTTCCTCTAGATGAGTCTGACTCTCCATCTTGCAGCTGTTCAGCCGAATGGTTCAGCATCCAGCTAGGAGAAGGGAAATCATTCCTGCAAGAACTCTTCTAGAGTCTCTTCTAGCTCAGTTGCCAATACTGGTGAAAGAAAGTAGGTCATCTTGTGCTTCAGGGTTACAACAGGATCAAAGGAATTTGTGATTCCTTGGGAGCTTGGGGGGGGAGGATGGGTGTGGGCAGTCTAGCTCTCATGATTCTGCTAACTAAAATAAATACGTCTTTCACCTCTCTTCAGGGAATATTTGGGTTTGGAGAGTGCCTGGCATTGCTGAAACAATGCTACTTTGCTGGAAAGCCACTAACTGAAAAAGGCTGAGAAACGTTTTCCAGCCAGGAGAGATGGCCTTTGCCTTCTGCTGCTGCTTGCTGTGTTTGTGTGACTCTGCTTCTCAGCAGTGGGTCCCTTGAGCTGCATGGTGAATCTCTGCCTCTCTCTCTTTTTTTGTTCCCAGCCTTTTGCCTGGGTTATTGGTACTGACAGCCCAACAAAATTCATCCCTGCAAATGGTTTGTTTAAAGGAAAAAAAAAAAAAAAGTAATAATTTAAGCTTGAGTGAACTGCAAGGCAAAAACCAGCTGCATTGCCCCAACAGGCCAACTATGGTGCAGGAGGTTGATTTTTCCCTTTGCAACCTCCTGCCCAGCTGGAAGCTTCCCCTGATGCTTGAAGGGTTTTGCCTGGCCC